CACACACACACACACACACACACACATGGAATTATTCCCCCTGAGATCTCAAGTCGGGTTTACAGCCAAAAGGAATCCGAGCACGAGCGGGGCGATTTCGTCATTCTGTGAAAAAGGAATTCCTTTCTCAAATATACTAACGCGATTACAAAAACATCCGTTTCTTGGGTGGTTTTCTGTGAAATCTCACCGGGGATTGTAACAAGTGATTTAAGAGAGAGAGAAGAGGGACAACATCACTCTCGAACGCGTCGCTTTCATTTGTTGAGCTTTTGCTTCGACACAACCGAAGTCAAATTAATTGATTCATACCATTAATTACGGTGCTTAGCGTGAAAGAAACGTTTCCCTTCGATTAGGACTCTATTGTGCTAATCTCTTGTTCCATCAGTGTTACCATCTGATGCCGGGGAGGAAGAGGGAGGGCGACGGCCAGAGGGGGGTGTGGGGTGGCGGGGGAGAGAAAAAGGAGGCGGGAGAAAGCGTGGAGACAAAGTTTGGGGCTCCCTTTGGCAGATCGCGCGGGGCGCCTGAGTTTGAAGCCAGGCGCGATCCGGAGAGCGGGGATTGATTCGGTCGCGGGCCTCCTTGAGGGAGAGCAAGCGTGGGGTTCGCCTGGATTTGGTGACCATCTTTGGCTGATCTCTTGTTAACCTTTTCCAGCGCTGCAAAAAGCATGTTTATTTATTTATTTATTGGATCAATGTGTTTGTAGTATCTTCCCGTAAAACATTCCCCAAACACCAGGCATTTCCCAAACATCGGGCGAGGGGGGTCGGGGGGGGAGGAAGTGTTTGCATCTTGGCTACTGGAATGACTGACCGCATCCAAAAGCTAATTTGGAAAAGAAAGGGGTAGTCGTGTGCGTGCGTGTGCGTGTGTGTGTGGTGAAAAGAAAGAAGTGGTCACCCAAAGGAGGGATGAACCTAAGCCATAGGCCAGGCCAAACCATCCAACAGAGAATGGGTGTCAGGGAACCCTAATGTAAGCCTCAGTGAACTTTGCTCTTTAAATCCCGAAGTCTTTCAGCTCCATGGCGAAGCTTTCCTACAATATCTAGTACGGTGGCTATGGAGTGTAAGGGGGGAGGGGAACCAAGAGAGGAAAACACCTTTTTAGAATAATAACCAAACTTTCTCCAAAGAGATGTTAGTAACTCTCGTGAAAGAGTTTAAGGTTGCTATTTTGCCCCAAGATCGGGAGATAAATAATTCCGAGGTGGTGGAGGATGGCTGAAAAAGAGATTTTATTGAAATTGAGGTGAAAACTGATTCGTGCGAGAGAAGCTACGTGTAGATACGCACATGCACACGCACGATTTAGCAACGGCAGAGAACTACTGTCCAGATCGATATGGAGTCAGATAGAGACATAGCTGAGGTGGGGGTGAGGGTGGGGAGACGCGGAACGAACAACTTATGATAGGAGAGGAGAAATTAATTACAGCTCACTTGGAACCTCATATGACCAAGTGAGTGTCTGCCCACAAAGTGAGTTAAAAA